ACACAGACACAATTACACAGACACACACACAGACACATACACAGACAGACACACACACACAGACACACAGATGAACACAGACACACAGAACGCAAGCGCAACAAGCGACACGCAACATGCAACGCACACACACACACACACACCTCACACGAGACTCACACGCAGCAAACGTACAACACACACACACAGAGGGGGATCCCTGCTTTAGGAAACACGCTGTCAGGAAGACCGGGCTGCGTTGTCAGGCTTCTGACGGCTCTCATTTGCGTTTTACTCTTGTTGTTTCAGGGTATTGTGATGACTGGTAGTTTTTTCGTGGCACTTTGAGCATTTGGAATCGGAGGGTGTCCATTGTCCATGCGGCTACTGGATTAGACCTCACAGTGATTTGTCTTCAAGCTATTGTTGAACATGCGGGTAGGTGTGCGTCATTCTCACAGTTCAGTAATCGAGGATGACCTGGTTGGCGCAGTGGAACGTTCGATTTCATTGTGCCCAGAGAGCGGGTGCTTCCAATTTGGATTTGCTGAATAAATATCGTCCCATATTCTTGACACCGGTCCATTGGTCCGTTTGGTGTTTGTTGCAAGAGTCCTCGGGCCAGGTGTGCGCTTGCGCTGTCTGAGGGGGAGCCTTCTGCAGGTCAGGAGGCAGGCATAAGTCATGGTGGTATGTTGCTTTTTTGTGCATGCCCAAGTGCACGTGGGAGCTATCTTCCTTTTCTGGGGAGCGTTCCTTGTAATTCAACCGGCAACAGCAGACTTCCGTTTTTGGCCATTGCGTAGGCTGAACAACAGTTTTTAGCGCATGATTCTGAAACAGGAGATGACCGGGACTGCCGTATACTGGGACAAACAGGAGGGCAACGAAATATAGATGTGATGACTTGTGTAAAGGGATGGACCTTCCTGGAAAGATTTCTGTAGCGCCACACCTCCGAAGACATTGGGCTGGCTGTGGCTTGCATTTCTTGCTGAGAGACCCCATGTTCGTTCAACACCGGCGAATGTTCCATATGAGCAAGGGTCAAAACACGCCATGAAGAGTTCTTTGCTTTGGCCGGCATGACATGACCAAAATGCTTAAAACATGTAATAAGCGACGGGGGGCCATGAAAAGCGACACCCCTGTTCAGGGCTAGCCGGTTTCTGGATGATGAGTTGCATGTGCGTGCAGCCCCTGATTTCGGGAAGAATCCGGCCGCCGGAGCGACATCCGGAGCGATGCCTTTCAGAGTATGGAGCGACACCCATGGCCCCTTCAAGTAGGCAGTTGGCCCTTTAGTGTACTACACTTGTACTACAGTGTTGCGCTTTTCGAGCTGGAGCTGCGGAAGCATACTTCGCGCCCTAGATTTGTGCTACAAAGTTGCGATGTTCGAGCTGGAGGTGCGAAAAATGAGCTGCCACTGTAGTGAGCGACAGGGGGGCCCTGAAGAGCGACACCCCAGCCATGTAGCGTGTTTTGGGCGTTGCGCATATGGACGCAGACCCTTGTGCCCCGTTTGCAGCGTTTTAAATCCCGCATTGGGCGGTCACCGAACCAGCCAGACAGCAAAACATTGTATTTGTTTGCAGTGGGTCTGCGTCCCCAGATACAAAGTAGATCTTCGAGGAAGCTTCAAAACCCATAATTTTGGTGCAACCTTATGTGGCCGTGGGTTTGCGGAAGCCAGGGGCGAGTCAAGATGAGGAGGTACCCCTAGAGGTATGGGTAACTTCAAGGCAGACCCTCAAAGAACCTATGTTAGATCCCGCTTCCTCTTGGAATCCCTCCATGCCAGAAAGGGTGGTGACTGTGTTCCCTTTGACCCCGTCCATGTTTGCCTTGCAAGTGACAAAGTATGTTTTATCGTCATAGGGAGTGAATCTTAGTATTACAAGCGGCCCATTTTCCACAACCAGCATGGGGCTTCCCCAACCGGAGTCCCAAGAGCCATCAGGTAGCTTGCTGGGGCAAATGTGGAAAGGATATCAATTTGGCCAGCGGAGTTTGGGCAAGTTAGAGCGGCCTCACAAAGGATTGCGCGAGTCACCCTTAAAGTAATTGACGCTGCTTTGTGCGACTGGTTGAGTCAGCAGGGGTTAACCACAACTCCAAGACCGACGTTTGCTTGGGTCACTTGTGGGTTCCCTTCGGACTGGTCGAATTGTATCTGTCATGCTTAATTTGTGTTTTTCATTGGGATATGCCCGCCCCCATTCACCCTCCAACTTTGCGTAGTGTTGGATTTACACATGCACAACGAAAATTGAGACAGCGGCTCTTTGAGAAGCCGAATTTGAGTGAGCAAAGCCCAAAACGCATCGGGAAAACAATGTAAGCTCAAACTGGCCGGGGGCGCTTGGAAAACTGGTGGAGGAACTGCGGGAAAGACTTTGCCGAAAGAAGCACGGAACAACCGCGTGGAGAGCTAAAACCCGCGAAAGCTGGCCGGGAAAACTTGGAAGCATTGGCCAGAGTCGGAAAAGCTGACCGGAACGAGTTGGAGAGGTGGGAAAACCTCGGAGCAAAGAATTGCGCAAGAGCGGGCTGAACTTGGAAAATGGTTTGGCATGGGCAAGCTGGGAAAAACTGACAAGAAAAACTTGCAGAATGCGGCGGGGAAAAAACCATCAAACTAAACCCTCCCAAAAAAAAAACAAAAACGGAAAATCTGCGCGAAAAAGCCCGGCAAAACTGGGCGGAGTCGGAAAGACCCGGAAAACTGCACGGAACAGCTCGGAAAGACTGGCCGCGCAAATTATGAGAGTCGGAAAGCTCGCAAGAAAAACTCGGAAAACAACGAGATCCGATGATGCGCAGATTCGCGGGAAACGTGGCGGCGCCAATCTGGATGGGTGTGGTTCGAAGGGGTATTTTTCAAACGGGAACCAGGAGCAGCCCATTTTGCCCCTTAGTAATTGACTAGTGGAACAAAACAGCTGGAGTTCAAAAAAACTCCTTTTTCCCAACAAAACTAATGGAACAAACAACTCTTTTTCCCAAAAAGCAGCCCCCCAAAGTCAGAAGAGGATGGAGCTGCAACTCCCTCGGCTTTGCGCGACAGGATCTGCAAGTCCTGCAGGTCTTCGTCCAGCGTTTTTCGGGGAGGCGTGCGCGGCGAAGCGGCCGAGTGGACAGCGCACGGCCTCGCATGCATGTAATATCATCTCTGGAGCTCTACAATGCATCATATTGCATGTGTGTGTGTATAATATAGTATACCTACATATATATATATATATACATGGTTAGTTGCATAATTACTGCATGTATCACCAGTTGTGGTGCAGGATGAGGAGTCAGTCTGCAAATTCTAACAGCTGAAGGAAGCAACACATGCTTTGCTCAAAGCCACGCAGCATTTCTGTGCATGCCTGGACCAGACTTAACCAGATTCACAAAGCAGAGATCCGTCTACAGTTCCCCTCTTGAGGGATCCAAATTTAAGCATCGCCTTTCCTGAAGTGAGTTGTATTTTGTTGGGGTGGTCTGGAAAGGAGACATAGGGACTGATGTTGCCTGGACTCAGCGACTCAGGGCGCACTGCTTCTTCGACTTGAAGCCGCATTTGTGCTACGTCCCTGCCGGATGCCTCGGACTTCGGGCCGTGGTTTTCGTGGGTCAGATGATGTCAGCTTGCCCGCACACTGCGAATCAGTGTGGGCATAGCCCAAGGCAAAGCCTTTGGTGTCTCAGGGCTGGAGATCCATTTGGCTAGGGCTGCAACTGTCGGTTTGCTGATTTGGCTGCCTGGACTTTGCCAAGACTTGTGGGCCCTGCTTAGACCGTGAATTCAGAAAAGCCACCGTTATCGGAAATGGGGGCTTTTGGACCCATTTCGGTGAATCGCCGCTTCTTCAAGCAACCAAAACGGGTCCCCTTTTTCAGTTGTTTTTGGGTGGCAAGAAATCTATACCCGTTCATCAAGAAGATCCTCCACAACGTAACCCGAGGTTCACTACCCAGACCTCCAATGGCCATGGGGCACATGTATTGTTTTTGGGGGTAGTTGAGATTAAAGGAACCTCGCTTTGCTTGGGTTTTCGGTTGGATCTGCTTGACCGAAGGCAGCACCACAACTCTCGGGCGAGGCGCGGAAGTTGGCTTGAGCGGGGCGGGCGGAGCGGACATCGCTTGAGGGGCCCCACTTTTTGGGCCTTTTGGAGACGGCTGAGTAGCCGTTGGTGCAACGAACCTTGTTGGGCGTGGGTTATGGCCCGGGGGGGAGGTCAGAGCAGGGTGTTCAAGACTGACGAATTCGTGGATTCGCCTTGTTGCGGTGATCGAGCTCAAGAAGTGAGTTGGCCACAGCAGTGAGTTCACAGCAGGCACAGGCCTAGGGGGTCACAACGCAGAACTTGCTCGCTCCACAAAGTCACTGTTAGATGCCAATCTGTGACCTTCTGGTTTGGCAGTTGAGTCCTTATGGGTTCTCTTTTTTTGGGTGACTTAGGAAAACCAAAGAGAAACCAATTGTTTTGATAGATTCCCTTGGGAGAAGCATTGTCCTTTGGGCGAGCGAGCAAAAACCACTGCCCAAATGGTCAGGGCTGAACAAGCGAGCTTGTGTAGACGCTTCCCTCACTCACTTGACTGCCATGAGGGTGTCTCAGAATGAGTCAGACCCTTTTTCAAGCTATCCATTGGTTTGTCCCGAGCCTTTCCAATTGCCTGCAGTCGGCTTTGGGCTGTCATGGAGCTGTTGGGCTCAAGGCCACACGCGGCTTCTTGCAATCAATCCTGCGGCGAATGATAGTGACGTTGATGAGCGACCGAGCGCTTTATTACATGATAGAGGTTGTCTTTCTTGGGTCTCCATTCTCATTTTAGGCAGGTATTTGCTCGATCTGCGCAGTTTAACCTTGTCTGACGCTTGGCGAGCGAAGAACCAAAGAACCAGACTTAGACTCGTGACTTTTCCAAGTCCGCCATGGCCCTCTGATTGTTCGCGTTTGTTTATTTATTATTTTTTTATCTACTCTTTCTTTTTCTTTTTTTCTTGGGGGGGGGGCGCCATGGTGAGACTTTGGACGGATCAGCATCCGAAAGCCTTCGAGGAGGCCCTCAGGAGAGGGGTTTTCTGGGCACCGCCCAGGCCCGGGTGCCCAGTGACAACACAGTGCGTCTCTTTTCTTTTGTGTATTTTTTTTTGGCGGGGGGTTGGACATGACTCCTGCTGCCTCTCCGCAAAATCAACGTGGAACATCTCTGCAACAAAAGGTGTTTGGGCAAGAGCTTTCTCAGGGAGAAAAACACTTGCCGCTTTAGGAACCCCACTCCAAAAAGTAGACTCAAAGGGGCGAGTGGATTATGGCGCCAAGGACTGGCAGATCCAACTTGGTTGGTTTCAAGTGTTTCTTCGGTTGCACTGTGAAGCTCCACAAACGCGTTAATGTCCACCCCCCCAAACAAAAAAAACAACAACAAGCAAAAGACACAAAACAAACGAGACTAGGCTTGGGGTGGAGAATTGACCAGGTGATTGAGACCACAGGATGTTGATACATGGGTCAGAAAAAATGGAGGGTCTCAAAACGTATTCTCATCTCAAATCCGTTGGATTCTGGGAGGCTCTGCATTTTGCCTTCCATTTCGTCTTCAACCCCAAATCACAGTCAAGGGATACAATTGCGCGCCTGCGGGGTACGTACCCCTAGTCTTCACGCATACCATGCAACTCCCCGTGCAAAGGTCCAACGCAGAAGCTCCCACGGTGAAGACGCGGACATGGTTTTCCTTGCCGGATTGTTGCTTTCGTGAGGTACAATGAGGACGATTGGCCGGAGGCCTACGCTTATATGGCAGAGCAACTGGCGTTGCGGGTGGAGCCCTGCCCAGAAGCATTGGCCAAATTGCGGCTTGCCATACGAAGGTAACACGGTCCGCCGGGTGAGCCCTGGAATAGACTGGACAGATAACTTTAGTTAGTCAAAGAAAGTATGTCCGTTGACCATAACTGCAGTGGCGATGCTTTCTTCATTGCTCTTTGGACTTCTCAGTTGAGCGCCCGTGGCTTCGACCTTTCAACCGGCTCTCAGAGGAGACCTTTGCTTCCCTGAGGGAAAATGTAGACAAAAAGGAGGCCTTGTCTGGACAGGAGGTGGTTTTGTTGTGTCGTTCTGTGGACTGACTCATGTCTGAACCTTTGGGAATGTGGCTCATTGGTTTAACATGTTAAACAATGTTTACTTTGGATAGCAGGACCAACAGCTTTACCCTGTGACATTGTGGGACACAGTTGGGTGTGCCCTTGTTGTAGAGAGAGCGTGCACTTTGCTCACGTTTTGAGTGGAAACTCGAGTTGAACTATTTTTGTGTTTAAAGGTTAGCAGAAGTGTGAATAAATTCGATTGGAAAGAACATACTGTGTACATTATCATTTCAAATAGCATCATTCGGATTTATATTCAAATTCAAAATGGAAGCTGTGATTGGATTTATTCCTTTTTCAATCATGTTTAAGCTCTAGTCTAATTGTACAGTTCTATCGGGAAAGGATCTCCGAAAGTCTAGATGTATTTCCAGTTTCCAGAAGGATTCCGGTCAACGGTCAAGTATTTCCTTGAGTCCCAACTAAATCCTATTCAAGTTCGATCTGAGTTTTAGCGAGAGGCCGTGGGTGGAGATGCAAACTGAGAAAGACAAGCTACACAACACTCTGTTTTACGTTGTTTTCTGACGATGGTAGGGCTGGGGCTAGCAAATCAAAGAAAACTTGGTTTCGGGACCTGTGAATTCTGTCCTTGTGAAATCAGTACCTTTATCAAATTCTACTCAATGTCTGACTGAAGTTAATTAGAAATTATAAGGACAGACTCCAGTCAGATTCCTATTTTAAAGTAGAGTTTCAATAATGATTATAATAGTTCCCTAAATGTTACACAGGAATTCCGTTCCCATAGAATTGTTCCTACAAATCAGAAAGCATCCAAACAAAATGTATTTAACATTTTGGGGGTCCCTAGTTTGTACTTAACATATTTATCAAGTTCTACGCAGCTTCTATCTCACATTAAGTGGCATTTAATAAGGACAGAATCTAGCAATCGAACCATTACTATTTTTGGATTTGTTATTTTGAATAATTGTTCTACGTCAAAGTCAAAGCAACTGCTACACAGGAATTCCTTTCCCATAGAATTTACTTTTTGCAAATCTGACGACATGTTTAAACGTGTTGGATGTGAGCTACATCGGCACACTGATCACAGACGCTCTTGCAAACAGGCCGGATACTGTCAAATATAGAACACCTCGGACAACAAAACAAACACATATTGCGCTCCCAAGTCAGGACATCCGTCAATGCGCCAGAGTCTTGTGTTTTGTTTTGCTTCCGGTTGGTTTTCTCCAGTTGTTTTTCACACTTTTCCAAAGCAATGCAGGAAACCTCGAAAATAATAGACATAGTCTAGTTGTCTTTCTTTTTTTGGGCGGGGGGGGTGGTTTTCTGGAGGTGTTCTTTCTTTGAGGAGTGTGGGAACTTTGTGTTTTCGGGTTCTAGCCTTGCGCAGTCTCAGGGTGACCTGTTCTGGTTTTTCAGGGGTGCCCCAAAATGACTTTGGTGCGCCTCTTGGGCACGCGTTCAAACCACACACATACACTAGCTTGTTCAAAGCCTATTCTCCAATGATGAGCGGATTGCGGATCATGCGGTTGACGGATTAAGCTATGCGGTTTGCGGACTACAGATTATGGGTTGCATGGATAACATGCGGTTTGGACCCACAAACTGCGGCGCGGATTACGGATTAAGCAGCTTATGCAGCTTTCTCATTTGGGTATGTCCTTGTTTCTTTACCCCCTGTTTTCCCTCGTTTTTAAAGGGACACCAAGAAGAACAACCAGCCTTTTTGTTGGGGGGGGGGCTAGACAAAAATGAGACACCAGGTGGGCAGACACACACCAAGAGAAGCCGGAGACCCGGCCGCCCCTGCCACTTTGGGCCTGGTACCAGGCCGAGTCCGTGGGAAACCAGTACCAACCGGAAGCAAGAATCATTCTAGGGGTAGCTTCCCCAGGGATCCTTCTTGTAGGAAACCATGAAAAAGCCAGGGGGAAGCAGCTGTAAAAAAAACGATGGTTGAAACGAATGGGGAATCAACCCCTACAAACATGGCGGGTGATGTCAACCTCGGATTCCGTGCTTTTGCAGTGCAACTCTTCATTTGGAAGAGGTCTGGGTACAATGCGACAACCTCAACTTCAAGCAAGCCTCCCAGTAATACACTAGGGCATTACTTGACTAAACTCAAAGTCAACAAAAAACAACCATCTACTTCACCAAACTGTATGCTGGTGAAGGTGGTCCCCTTCTGGAAGACAATCCTTGAACCGCGCCTGCGCACCAAGCCACGGCGTCCGTCGCAAGAGCTCCACTTCAAGCCGGTTGGGGCTATGCAAGGCATTCGGACCCAGCCCGAAGGAACCCTTCCGAAGGTTTGGGGCCAAAGTGGATTCCAACGACAGGTCTTCCCAGCTTCCATTGGGAGGCTCCAAGCAAAAAAAGCCATGGTTTTTGTCTGGTTTGTTTTCTTTCTCCTCCAGGCGCACGGCGCGGAGCGGAAGGAGTTTGTGCCCTTCTACACCCACAATTGCACCATCGGCGCGCGGGCTGCGCTGATCCACTTCGAGCTGCCCGAGGAGAAGCTGCTGCCGGGCTGTACTTGAGTGACGGGAGATGTGGACGCAGACAGCCCTTGGCTTGCCAGGACACGTCTGATGTTCCGGTTGGCTGGTGTTTTGGGATTCCCTGTGGGTTCTAGAAGGAAGCGGTCACTCAAACAGAGGGAACTCACCGGAAAATTCCATTTTTTAAAGATTGATTGTAATTAATGTATACTAAAGCGCCCCTTTGGAACATACTACTACAATGAGTTGAATCCCAAGCAACAGTTGGCGTCCGGAATTCAGGCAGGATGGCAGCCCAAGAAAGGGGTCGGGTTGGCAGCAATTGAGTGGTGCTGTTGGGCAGGCGACATTGAGACAACGACCAGTTGGCATAGCCTCGAAAAAGGCACCTCCGATGCAGGGGTTGAGTCGCCCGGCACTGGGTCCCGACGTGGTTTAACTTTGACCAAGTAAGAGCAGAAGCTAGACCTTGCCAAATACAGGGAGCATGCAACCTCATCAGGCCCTGTAAGGTAATCGAAAGTTGACACGGTTTGTCCATCCGATCCGAGGCTGGTGTCCCAGTTTCAGATCTGGCACCAGGTGGGTGTTTCAGTGTTTCAGTTGTCAGTGTTTCCCTTTGAAGCCCTGGCCATTTTCCCAAAGTTGGTTTCCTGGAAGTGTTTCAAAACCCAAGGGCCTACAAAAAGTCATCCTCATTTCGGAAGCTCCAGGTGCTGAACGACTCCTTCCTTACCGTCACGGAGCAAGAGGACGACGAGATGCGCGCTTTGAGGGACTCGGACCGGGACACCTGGGAGGCCAGCATTGATTCGCCTCAGAAGAGTCGGGCGTGTCCTTTTTTAGGGACATCGTTTGAATGGCGCTGTACAGCTTGACTGCTATTGGGTTGGATCTTTAGACTTTAACTTTTTGGGAAATCAAGGGGTTTTCCACTAAACCCTCAAAAGTTAAACCTTTTGCGGGGTCAACAGCAACCAAGACAGCTACCGTAGTTTGCTGAACGGAGTCTATGCAATAGTCCTCAGACTTCTTGTGAGACAGGGACTACCTTGGTTGGGGTTCTCTTTTGGCATCTATGTTTTGGCCTGATGCCTGCAGCTTTACACCCCGTTCTGCGGGGTGTGGGGAGATGACACGTAGTTTATGATCCGGTTCCTTAGACACCAACCTGCGAAGGATACGCTCGATTTTACAAAGCCCCTACTTGGAACCCGGGGTTGCTTCTAAGGAAACACGAAGAAGGAGCCAACCTTTTTGGTTTTCCGAGGTTCGGTCACACTATCCTGCTTTGGCTCAGTTTCTCCTGCTGAAGCCACCGGAATAGAGTCCGCAATTGAGGCACGCTCATTTTTGTTGATGGCTTGTTGGCTTTCCTGGTTGACTTCTTCGGTGGACATGGCTGTGATTGGTAGATATAGGCTCAGTAGACTCTCCGTTTTGTTTGGAAGTGGGCATGATTTGTTTAAGTGGCCGTTTTGGCGGGCTGCTGTATCTTTTTTTGGCTGGGGGTTCTGGGGGGAAATGTAGTGGTCCCTCTTCATGCGATGGGTCCTCCCCAGTCGCAGGCCGAAAGTCCCCCTTGAGGCCCCCCTGCTGAGGTTTCCCTGAAAAAAAAACACAAACGGCCTGTCACGGACACAGAAACACAGAAACAAACCGCACAGCCAGCGGAGTTGGCCAGGTCAAGAAGCGCGAGAGTTGGAGTAGAGTCTTGGCAGCTCTAACTTTTGACTTGTAACTTTCGCCTTTCGCCTTTTCAGTTTAACCTTTCAGGTGCTAACTTTTGAAGCTTTACCTTGGAATTACTAAACCTTTGGTTCGGCCTTAAGCCTTTTTGGTTTCCCATCGGCAAAGAGCGCTCATTGGACAGTTTGACCAAGGAGTTTTCACCAGGAACTGGACCGGTGACAACTATGCGCTGCAGGGCGAGAAGGACTGGACTGCTCGCTTTGCTCTTACAAGAAGCCAGTGGACAAAGGGAAGCTTATGCTCGCCGCGTTTCAAGCACCGATATTGGCTTATTCCAGCTTCCAACCCTCAACAATCAGAGCTGATGAAGCCCGTTCTGGCCAAACAAATGCCGAAGAAGGCCAGCCCCCTTTCTCTGAACCCCAAAATGTGTTCAAAACCACCAAAGCTGGACAAATCTAGGGAGAAAAAACGAAAGGTCCCTTTGGGGATCCCTGTGGATGGTCGAAATCCACGCCAGGCAGGACCCCCCCACAGCGACCCCTGTTTGAATGTGTTCTTGAAGTCGAAAGTGATGGGTGCTGGCTCAGTAGTGGAACCCTGGCCCATGGCTTGCCTTCAAACACCCGCGACAACCATCAAAAGGGCCTCAGAGGTTTTCCACACATTCAAGGGAGTCCCGTTGCTTTCCCCTAAAAACGAGAACGGGTTGTAATGGCTCCAAGAAGGGTTGGTTATTCACGAAGAAAAACACACATCAGGTTATACGTTCGACCGTAGGCCAACTTGCGAAGTTCGTCCAAGACCTTTCCTTCAACCACCTGGGAACCCTAAGAAGTGGCAAGGGTTTAAGGTCGACTTTTTATGAATCAAATTGGATGTCTAGTTTTTTGTTGTTGTTTTCTTAAATGGGAACCCCCCAAGAAGAACATGATATTCTTCACTCGGTTCCCTTCGCTTGAAGGAGGCGATGTATCAGGCAGTGTTCTGGGAGCTGCCCGTGCACTCCATCCTCCTCACTCAGCGCTTGGTGGGCTTTGGTGCGGATGCATATCTGAGCCGCGAGAAGGTGAGCCCATTGGGACGAAAACCCGACGTGTCGGGCATCGGGTGTTTCTGTTTCTTCTTCTATTTTGGGGGACCCGATTCTAAATTGGGGTTCGGTCCTCGCAAGAATCGCACCCAGGTGGATCGGTTTCGGCTTGCGGCCTGTCATTTTATTTTGGGAGCCGGGTGGTTAGGTATATGGTTGTTGCTTGGTTCAAAATGTCCAGGTGTCTGTGGTCCGCTTGGGAGAGACATGGGGGTCCCATGGGGGACTCTCTAAATTCACAAAAAGTGCCGGAGGGCCTGAACACATTAACTTCATTTTGATTTGTGGTGGTCCCCCAAATTACCACAGCATCGATCCAGATCACCAAAAGGGAAGCTGATGTTGAGCACATCAGCCTGTGGTGGGCCTGCTTCCATGAGGGATAACGTCGGTGCCCCTTTAATCAAAAGGTAGCAAATAACAAATGTCCAACATTTTTCAGGAACCTCAAAATGAAAAAGGACACCAGAAACTAGACTCTTTGTTTGCTCTGAGCAAATCCGGAGGCGTTGATGTTTCCCTCTTCGCCCAGCCCCAGCAACCAAGTAGGTCTACGTCTTTCTCAGAAGTGCCCAGCCGACAAATTTCCAAGCTGGTACGTAGCACATGCGTTCCAGGCCGAAAGAAAAACTAAGCCAACTCCAAACCAGCACTAAAGAGGATCGAAGACAACCGAAGCAATACTAGGCCAATACTAAACTTATACAAACCAAACTGTTGTTTGGTAGTGGCATACCGACATGATATATGGCTCAAGAAAAAGTAACTGCTGCCCGTGCTGATTTCTAGGTAGATTCCACCTTTCAACAGGTTATCAGCCGTATCGCTGGTACCTTGTACAGTCAGCTCTCACCCGCGCCGCAATGGCGTCAAGCGGCGACGGATGCCACCCTGCTATAGCAAGGATGAACGAAGCAGTGGCCAATGAATTGATCAAGGGTGGGCATCCGGAAGGGAAAGCGCCATGCAATCTTGTCGCAGCGCTCCCGAAGCAGTTTTCCTGAGTCCGACCAAGCAACATCATGTGTGCGCCCCGAACATATACCCACACAGCCAGACGGTGAATGTGGTCAACGCAGGTCCGAGTACGGAAGAAGTGGCTGCCTATGCTTCGGCGCGCCATGACGCCATCATCAGTCAGCTTCAAGCAGGCCATGTTGAGGAAAAGGGCCGACTCTACCAGGACGCGGTGAACCACATCAATGTATGAACAAGAGGCAATGGCGAAAGAAAGGGAGTTTAACGAGGCAAGACAGCAGTGGGTTGCTCAGCGCTCAGAAGCCGAAAAGAAGTACGAACAGCTCAGGTTGATTTGGGAGGTCACGAGCAGCAAGCAGAAGGAGGACGCAGACAGGAGTGCTGCAGAGATGAGAGAGATCATCATGAAGCAGTCAAAGGACATTGAAGCACTACGTCATGAACTGAAGTCTCGCGGTGAGCAAAGTAGTTCTTCTAATGTTCCGATTTTCGGACTTAGGCCGAAGGCCTCTCCTGTACAGACGTTTCCTCCTCCCGGCCTGGACCTTAGTTCTAAGGTACGTGTCAGGTCAGCTTCCACCGAACTCCACCGTGATGGGCCAGGTGCCGCCGATGATCTTGATGGTGATGCCGATGAATATGAACCGACATCCCCAGCACAGGACCCCTAATGATGGTAATAGGAATCCATCAGGCGCAGATAAAGGCCAGAGCGGAGGCGGTGGGGAACCACCTGCCGGCAATCCCGATGATGACGATGATCACGACGACGACGATGACGAAGGAAATGATGAAGGGAAGAAGAGCAAGAAGGACAAGAAGAAGAAGAAGGGCAAAAAGAAGAAGAGCAAGAAGGACAAGAAGAAGAAGAGCCACAAGAAACGAAAAAGTGGATCTCCTTCCAACTCTCCGAGCTCTTCATCGTCCAGCTCCTCAACATCATCCTCCTCATCATCGTCATCGGAGAAAGCCCGAGCGATCCGCAAGAAGCTCAACAAGATCTTGGGTAAACAGGCGACTACTGTGGACGCAGACAATGATAAGCCCAAGGTCAAGGAGGCGGAGAGGATTGTCATTCCCTCTTTCCCACTTCCTGAGAGTTACAGGAATTGGCGCATCAAGGTTCGGGAAGCCGTGTGTGCGGCGTCCGATCGCCCCGATGACGCTTTCAAGTGGATCAGCAGAGTGTGGGAGCCTGCCGTCACGATCGAAGAGCTCAAAGCAACGCCGAGAGGGAACCCCGGTTGAAAAAGCAGAAGGACCCTACGCAGGAAAAGATCTTTTGGGCAGACTGGGTCAAAACCCGGAAGATCAACACCAAGGTCCCGGCTGAGGAGCAATGCGAATGGCTCGAAGTCGGGGACATGGGGCACGTCCCCAGAGTGAACATGGACCGGGACTACAGGTTGGTGGCGATCTCCAAGAAGATGTCCTACTTCCTCAGGGGTGGGGCGTTTAAGGACGGGAAGCCACATCCGCCATTTCGAGGGATCGACCTCTCCGTGGAATTTGATGCGCTGGTAAGGCATCTCAACGACCGGATCGCGAACGTGAGACCGTGGGAGGTTATGGTTTGCATCCGGAACAACAACACGAGGAGGTTCCGAGTCATGGTGGGCCCACCTCCGGTGGGAGAAGCATCCTGGAAAGGATTGCCGTACCAAGCAATGCGGGTCAGGGCCGTCCAAGGGCACCACAATGAGCTCACGAGGAAGTACACGGAGCAGGCTATCCTGACTAACCTGTATTCCTTTGACGAGGAGGTCGATGCGGCAAAGTAGCTGGGCGGCCAGTATCCGAGAGCTGTACGGAATCCCGAGCGAACCGACCTATGGCGCCGAGGCGTGCTCTACCACACGTGCGACCTCAGGTCGGCGGAGAGCATCTTCAGGTTCGGCCTGGTTCCGGGGGGCTATCCGAAGTCGACGGGCAGGGCCCACGTTTACTTCAATCCAACGCCACCCTGGGAGGCCCAAATGCGGAAGCTGGCGGGAACGCGAGCCGGAAGGCCCGTCACGATTGCTTTCGATACGGAGCTCATGATGCAGGACGGCATCCGACTCTTCACCAGCGACGAGGCGTTTATGTCGGCTGATTGGGTTGGAAACGCATACATTCTCTACGCGTTCCACACCCGGAAGAATGAGTTCCTGTTCTTCAATCGGGCCTATCCGGAGCTGCGCAAGAGATACCGCGCGGCGCTAACGTCGGAGCTCACACCCGGACCCCAAGATGTCAATCCGAGCTTCTTCAAGAGAGAGAACACTCTGACCGCGGAGAAGGCATGGAGGCACTGGCAGACAGTTGTTGACGGCACAAGGAATGGCAAACTGCTACCTGGCGCTGTCACTGAGATTGCCACTGTCGATGAGCTCGCTCCCCGGAAGGGGAAGTCGAATGAGAGACCTGCAGGGCCGACGTATCAGATCGCACCTGCAACCCTTCGGCGGGTGCCCGAGCTCTCCAGGGGAGAGAAAGGGCACGGTCGCGGCTGGAGCAACCTTCGCAGTCGCTACCAGAGCGAGCCAGATTGGGAAGACCTTTTTTTCACGACAATGATGAAGAACCCAATCATGAAATGCTGGAACAGAAGGTGCGGCAACTCGCAAATCGACGGCTACCTTCTGTGTCAGGAGTGCCGCTCGGATATGGTTGAGTGGACGGATGCCCGGATAGCCACAGAAGTTGTGCGGCTCGTTGGAAGACCTTCAGGGGGGTGGTGGCAAGTGGATCCGGTCCAAGCACCATGCAAAGGAAGGAGAGAAGCGGGGAGGAATCTCCGTCGAGGCATCGCTCAGGAAGACGGCCAAAACGCACCTCACCAAGGCGCAAGGGATGGGCTGCGCAAAGGTGTCGGACCGCCTGTCGGTTGACCCTTTCTACGCCTACAACTGCGCCACGCAAGGGCTGACTCCGGAAAGTTTGGACTTCCTGGGTCGGATTGCCCGCGCTATCGTGGCGGACCCTGGCCGGACGAGGGAGGAGCGTGAGAGGGGGGGCTCTCAGAACACGGGAACCAAGTTGGTGTTCATCCCCACTCCCAACAAGCTCAACCCTCACGAGCTGAATGTCTCGACAGAGGTCTATATTGCTCACCATGCACGGTTTTACACTGTCATGCAGTTCGCTGTCATGTGCGCGTACCGATTTGTCCCGAACAACCAGGTCCCGATCATCATCGGACACAGTGGGCAATACGTCCCGGAAGGGAACGTCGAGACCATCCTTGACGTCATGGTCAGCTTCATCCGTGCATCGTGGAAGAAGTATGACCCGCAGGGTACCATCAGCACGGGCGAGTTGGAAATTCCTCAGTTTTCGTCAGGCCGCACGAAGAGCTACCCCATCGAGGCAAAGAACTCCCAATGGAGAGCGATTACCAGGTCCATTCGTCCCGAGCCCTACCAGACCAAAGGCAAGGGCAAAGGCAAGGGCAAGAACAAGGACAAGGGACGTCAGGACTGGCACTCCTGGAATTACGGGTGGTCCTATGGATGGGAGCAGTGCACCCGCATCAACAAGGAATGTTGAGCTTTTGTTGCGGGAACTTTATCAATTTCATTGGTGATGTCATGATTGTAACCCATTATCTTTCATCCATTGATGCCGCAACATTAGCTGTGTTTTTTTGCACGCCCGGCGGAAGCTGTGGCCGTAGGTCTATCCACGGCCGCCCCCACCGGCTTTCATTTCCATTTTCTGCCCAGCGGAAGCTGTGGTCGTGAGATCACCACCGTTGATGACGGCAGATGAATTTAATTTCAAAAGATCCACATGCATTAACATGCGTGTGTAGCCCGACGGAAGTCGTGGTCGGCCGATTCACCTGGCTTGCTCCTGCAAAAGATCAAGTGCATTGCAGTTGAAGCAGCCATTGATGCAACAGGCCCCAAACCATGACTTGCCACTCACCACACTGAGGCTCAACGTCTTCGAAGTCACAACCTCAGAGGACTTTGCTTCAGGCCTGGGAGGGAAACATGTACAAAGTACTGTTTTCACCAACGCTCCTCTGCAAAGCGGGGGGTGTTGTTTGGTAGTGGCATACCGACATGATATATGGCTCAAGAAAAAGTAACTGCTGCCCGTGCTGATTTCTAGGTAGATTCCACCTTTCAACACAAACCAATACTACGCCAGTACTAAGGCAGCACGAAGAAATACTAAACCAATCTTATCCAATACTAGCAATACTAAACCAATACTAACCAATACTAAGCGAGTACTAAACCAGCACAAAGCAATACTAATACTAACTAATATTCAGCTAGTATTAAACTGGCACAAAGCAATACAAAGCCAATACTACCCAATACTAAGCCAGTACTACACCAGCACAAAGCGATACTAAACCAATACTAACCAATACTAAGCCAGTACTAAACTTGGGCCAAAATGTTTTACCGGATTCCAAAATTGGGGCCTTCATTGGGGCTCCAAAATTTGATCGAGGGGGGCCTTCATTGTTGAGGCACCCACATTAGCACAGTTTGCCCACAGGTGCGGTTCGTGGATTTTGCCACGCCTGTGCAGGAGGAGGAGGGGTGTTCAGAAAGATATCCAAGTTGGTATTCAACCACAATGAGGGGGTGCGTTTCCAAGAAAGAAGGTTTGTTGGCCAAACAACTCCCTCCATAAGAATGTGTGTGTGTGGGGTAGGGTGCGGGGTCCGAAAACAATTCAGTGGCTTGAAGGGAAGACCTGCAAGCAACCGCTGTCTGCACATTGTCTCTAATTTTGAGATGGGGGTGGACCAAAACAGGTAGGAAATGGGCCCATTGCAGTGCTTGGCTTGGCTTGGTGTGGTTTTGGTTTGTTTGTTTCTTTGCTTGTTGGTTTGGTTTTTGATTGCTTGTTTCCATATTGCATGTGCGCTCGGTAGGTGGGTGGGTGGGCTGGGTGCGTCGGTCAGTCAGGTCGGTCGGTGGGCGGGTGCGTGGGTTGGTCGGTGTTTTAGGTTGTTTAGCTTCGGTTTTTTACTTTCCCCCAAGAAAACCCCAAGGGGAGGGGGCATTGTTCTGTTCCCGCATTTTCGGCACCTTTCAGACCCTGAGGTGTTGAGCTTCGACATCAGCATCAAGTCCCGGAAGCAGCATTCCCATCGGGAGCTGCGCATCGTTGTGACAGAGCTGAAGCCGGGGGGAGAAGCGGAGCGTGCGGGCGTCGCGGTTGGCTGGTTTGCCACCCGTTGCCAACTGGCATTTGGCTGGTTTGTCAACCAGCGACAGTTTGTGGGTTGGGGGTCCCTTCAATTCCATTTCTCAGAAAACAGCAAGAGAACTGGGATTTGTTTGTTTTTGTTTTCCTTCCCCTGAGGAAAGCCACTGGTTGCGTTCCGTGAGGCTTTGGGCGTGGTCAGCGACTGGAAAGCGCCGGACCCCATGCCAGAGCTTCTTTGGGAGAGGAGTCGTTTTTCC